CACAATTGAGAAGGGGTGGGTGGGCGGGGCTTACATTTGTCCATTTTTTTTCAATATCCGCAGTCTTCTTTTCCCAACAAAAAACTGAAAATATGTTTAACTATCCTGTCGTTGAAAGAAAATTCTATATATATTAAAAAAAACAAGGTTAAACCCCGCCCACCCACCTCAGTCTCAATTGTGATGATTTTCATATGAAAATTTCTTGTAGAGAAACGAGGATTTTGCATGTAAACTCCGCCCTTCAAGCTCACACTGAATAAAACAGTCATCACAATTGAGAAGGGGTGGGTGGGCGGAGCTTACATTTGTCCATTTTTTTTCAATATCCGCAGTCTTCTTTTCCCAACAAAAAACTGAAAATATGCTTAACTATCCTGTTGTTGAAAGAAGACTCTATATATATTAAAAAAAAACAAGGTTAAACCCCGCCCACCCACCCCAATCTTAATTGTTATGATTTTCATATGATAATTTCTTGTAGAGAAACGAGGATTTTGTAAGTAAACTCCGCCCTTCAAGCTCACAATGAATAAAACATTCATCACAATTGAGAAGGGGTGGGTGGGCGGGGCTTACATTTGTCCATTTTTTTTCAATATCCGCAGTCTTCTTTTCCCAACAAAAAACTGAAAATATGTTTCACTATCCTGTCGTTGAAAGAAAACTCTATATATATTAAAAAAAAACAAGTTTAAACCCCGCCCACCCCAATCTTAATTGTGATAATTTTCATATGATAATTTCTTGTAGAGAAATGAGGATTTTGCAACTAAATTCCGCCCTTCAGCTCACAAATGAATAAAACATTCATCACAATTGAGAAGGGGTGGGTGGGCGGGGCTTATATTTATCCATTTTTTTCTCAGTATTCGAAGTCTTCTTTTCCTAACAAGAAACTGAAAACATGTTTAACTATCCTGTCGTTGAAAGAAAATTCTAGATATATATTAAAAAAAAAATTAAAATGCGGTTCATTGGATGACGATTTACATAATATTTCTAATATACATACAAAATTTGACAACAATCGGTCCAGCAGTTTCGGAGATTATGTTTCTAATAAAAATGGATACAGACACACAGACAAACGGAAACGACTACTTTTTTCGTACTGTAAAGGTCATGAACCGTCGAGAAAACTTAAAAGTGACAATTCGTCCAATGGACTCGATTACTATACTTCCTTAGCTTACGCTTGGGAAGTAAAAATTGCACAAATCAGCAGGCGATTCCGGAAAAATGGCAAGAGTTATGAAAGAAATGAGGCTAAAATTAACTTAAGAAACTAAAAAGCTGATAAAAAATGTCTTTGGTTATACATATATTGAAAATTGACCAAAATTTCTCAATGTAAAATTTTCGTTTTGAAAAAGTTGCCAAAAAATTCTGGTATGTATATTTCGTCGTACTGAATCCAAAAACATTGCCTTTTTAGGCTCTTGGTGCAAGATTTAAAAATATGTATTAGTTTTTTATGCAAAAAATTGTGGGAGATTCTGAAAAAATGGTGTAGCTGTCGAAGAAATTAGGCAAAAATTGACTTCCGGAGGTCAAAATGTATTAGGAAAATATGTTTTGTTAAATTCTGGTATTGAAGAAAATAGAAAAAATAATAAAAAACACTTTCGTCGATGTTCAGTGAGTGCGACCTGAGAAAAAAATGATTATGAAAAAGTTAAGGGCTCTCAAAAAACTATAAAAAAAGAGGAAAAAGAAAATTTGCTAAAAACCGAAAAGTTTTAAAAACGTGATTAATCTCGATGACTTTTTAGTACTTCTATTATAGGTATTATTAAATTTTTTACTTCGAATCAGCACTTTGCTTTCCAGTATCACACGCTAACAGTTTGCTGTGTAGCATTAGTAATAAAAGTAAAATAATAATTAGTACACATGTCAAAATCGGCATACTTTAGTTTTTGTTTGCATATTTCGAATTTGTCCGAACTGACCACCAATTATTCGTCAGAAATCTCCACCGTTCGCTCCTGTTTTCGCTACCTCCTGCCGCCCTCGGCTCCTCCGCATCCATTTAGCCAAATTGATGGTTAAATAAACACTTATTAGGACCTTTCCCGACCGTCAAACAAATGCACGACAAGTGGTGCACATGTGTTTACCGAATTCTTCGGCTCCGAGCGACGCTCCACGGAAACATAAAGTTCGCCCGTTCACGCCCCGAGCGCAAAAACGGGAAACGTTCCGCTTCCAGAGAGCTACGACGTATGTGTGGGCAAACTCCCGGGTCGGCGTTTACGGATATCGGGTTACTCGACGGAGGCAGCCCGCAGGTGAAACACGATATTGTAGAGAAGCTGTACGCTGTTAGAGGGCCTCCGGGCACAGTCCGGCGAGTAGGTGGTCTTTGTCTCGCTGCGAGCCCTTGATTCCGCACGAAAATCGCAAACGCATTAACGCACGCAAAACAAAAAATTGGTCTAAAGAGTTTAGACAGTACTTCCCTCGCTGTCGGAAACTTGACGACTGCATCCCTATTGTGTTTTTTTTCTCATTACATTTTTGTAGTGGGAATTTAAAAAAAAATTGCGATGACGTCATCAACATTTTTGCAAGGACACGTATATCAGTTGGGATAGATGTAGTGTAATACTAAGAATAAAATTATTATATTCTCAAATTTTCGGGAAAATGAATTGGGTCGTTTTGAATATTGATTTGTAATAATCAATAAAATAACGAAACAATTTACTCACGTATACGTATCAGAGGCAACTGAAAATCGTGCATGTATAAACATTCTTAATTTAAGATGACAGGCGTAACAGCATACGTGAGAGTCAAACAGAGAAACTGTAAACAAAACGACCATCGGTTTTATTGCTTCGACTTCCACTTATTATATAAAACATTGGGCTTTATTTTAATTCTTGACGATGAAATTCACAATTGGTTGATTATAAACATGTCTATTTCACATTCGCGGAACCAAGTGAGCGCATAAAACAAATGCAGGTCTGTAATGTTAAAGTCGATGTAAATAAGCGTGCTACCCTTATGTTTCAACCGAGTTTTTCCTTTAACAAATTTTGTGTCTACCAAATTGGGTTGGTTGGGGTGTAATACTAATAAGTGTTGCCTTTAATTTAATCAATAAAATAAATTGACTTCATTAATTTTTTTGAACCACCTCTTAAGAAAATCTAAAAAATATGAATGGAATGATAAATCACAAGTACAAACTCATCAAATTTTTTGCATTTTAGATAAGATTTATTCAGCAAAATTTAAGGGTGACGTCATCAATTTTTTTAGGAGGGATGAACAAATACATTTTGAACAAAAGTTTACCATGCTTATAATAACTTTAAAATATTCCCAAGATTTCAAAGCATTCGGTTTTGTAATTCCTGATTAAATCGATAAAATAAATTCACGCCTTCATTAATTTTTTTGAGTCACCCTGCATATGCAAATCCAAAAATATGAATGGAATGATAAATCACAAGTACAGACTCATCATATTTTGTACATTTTAGATACGATTTATTCGGCAAACTTTTGAGATGACGTCATCAGTTTTTTGTAGAAGATAACCAAATATATTTTGACTAAAAATTTATTATGCTCTTTATAACCTTAAAACATCTGCAAGATTTCAAAGCATTCGGTTTTGTAGTTCCTGATTAAATCAATAAAATAAATTTACGCATTCATTAATTTTTTTGAGTCACCCTGTATATGCAAATCGAAAAAATTTGAATGGAATGATAAATCACAAGAAGAGACTCACCATATTTTGTACATTTTAGATAGGATTTATTCAGCAAAATTTTGTGGTGACGTCATAAATTTTTTAGGGGGGACGACCAAATACGTTTTGATAAAAAATTTACCATGCCTATGATAATTTTAAAATATCTTCAAGATTTCGAAGCATTCGGTTTTGTAGTTCCTGAGTAAATCAGTAAAATAAATTTACGCTTTCATTTATTTTCTTGAATCACCCTGTATATGCAAATCCAAAAAATATGAATGGAGTGATAGATCACAAGTACAGACTGATCATATTTTGTACATTTTAGATATGATTTATTCGGCAAATTTTCGAGCTGACGTCATCAAGTTTTTGGAGGGGATAAGCAAAGATATTTTGACTAAACATTTATTATGCTCTTTATAACCTTAAAACATGTGCAAGATGTCAGAGCATTCCGTTTTGTAGTTCCTGATTAAATCAATAAAATATATTTACGCATTCATTAATTTTTTTGAGTCACCCTGTATATGCAAATCCAAAAAATATGAATGGAGTGATAGATCACAAGTACAGACTCATCATATTTTGTACATTTTAGATATGATTTATTCCACAAACTTTTGAGCTGACGTCATCAAGTTTTTGGAGGGGATAAGCAAATATTTTTTGACTAAAGATTTATGATGCTCTTTATAGCCTTAAAACATCTGCAACATTTCAAAGCATTCTGGTTAGCAGATTAAAAATTAAATTTCAAAATGTTGTTTTATAATTTTGATTTTTTTTCCAAAAATCTGGACGTTTCGGGTGAAAAGTCGATTCAGAGTTGTAAACTACATGTGTAGGACTATGTTATTTTATACAATTGAAAACCCATTTACTATGTACAATTTTGAAGCGACGTCATCGCATTAGTGGTGGGGATGATTAGACAAATTTTGGTTAGCGTTTTACCATCTACATGATATTCTTAATATAAGTACAAAATTTCACAACAATCGGTCGAGTACTTTCGGAGATTATCTGTCTAATAAAAACCCGGGACAACAGACGGACAGACGGACAGACGGACGGACAGACGGACGGACAGACGGACGGACAGACGGACGGACAGACGGACAGACAGACGGAAATGGGAGACCTATTTCTTCGTCTTCTAGGGGTCATGAAAGATCGAGAAAACGTAAAAGTAGAGAGTCGGCCGACGGACTCGATTACAATACTTCCTTTGCTTACGCTCGGGAAGTAAAAAGTGTACTTATTTTGTTTTTTTTTGCAGCGGCCAGGCCAACTCCGACAAGCCCCACCTCGACTCCAGCGGCTCGGACAGCGAGCCCGAGCACAAACTCAACACGTACCCCCCGTCGGGGGCGGTGGGGCCGCCGCAGCTCACCCCCTACGGCAGCCTGGCGGCGCCGCCCATCGGCCAGCCGCTGTACCAAGCCCCCGGCGGCATCCTGCACGACTACCAGACCTTGTGACAGTGGTTGGCAGCGCCACAAGATGCCGCCGCGGCAAACAGTACTCTGTAAAGTGATAGGGGCAGCCCCGAAAAATCCACCGGTGCGGCCACGGTTGGCGATCCGCGGCTAAACGTGGACGCACCGGCGTTGTTACTTGTACTTAATAATGTATTTTTGTTCATAAGATTATAATTGTAAATAGATCTATTCCCTACTACGTATTATAGTAAGTGTATGCATAGGTATTAGTAATTTTCCTTCAGGTGGTAATTTAGTCTATCACTGCCCTTCGTTTTGCCATTGTGGAGCAATAAGTTTACGAGTAATAGTCTTTTTTTTTTCGAATTTTTCACGGTCTAGCCTAACGCTTAGTGTCTTTTTTTTGTTGCTGGATTGTACTTAAGACTTGTCTCGCCGTGTAAATCGACGTTCAATGGTTCATTTATGGCACAAACTGAAGCAATAAATTAGCTTGCTATTACTAGAGCCCCCAGGGGTTTAATATACCTTTAACTATCCATGTTACTCAACACGATACCTTCACCATACGTACTTATAAATGGCTAAAGCACATTATTTTTTTGTTTTATGTTCAATTAATGTTTCTGTTGTAATTGAAAATAAATTTGAATACTACCTACTGGAGTTTTCTTAGGGGTCGACCGTGGGGGGTACATTTCTGCCGAACAAAGAGTAGGAAATTGGAATATTTTGCAAGAATTATTCCACAGTTTACCATATATAGAGTGATCATTTATCATTAGACCGAACATGCCAATTCACATTGTGGGTTCGATGCCGAACTTAATCTTTGTTTTTTTTTTATGTATGGAGTTTGATTTCAACAACAGGATAGTTAAATATGTTTTCAGTTTCTTGTTGGGGAAAGAAGACTTCGTATATTAAGAAAAAATGGACAAAATATAAGGCCCGCCCACCCACCCCTTCTCAATTGTGACGAATGTTTTATTCATTGTGAGCTGACGGGCGGAGTTTAGTTGCAAAATCCTCATTTCTCTACAAGAAATTATCATATGAAACTCATCACAATTGAGATTGGGGCGGGTGGGTGGGGCTTACATGTTTTTCTTTATATACGGAGTTTTCTTTCAATAATTTTTTGGCGCAAATAACAAGAGATATTATAATAAAAACATAAACTCAATCTATTATTCAATAATTTTCGACTGTACTCCTAATGTAAGTCAGCTATAAAAACTGAAGAAATGAAAAACTGAAAAATCTAAAGATTGAAAATTAAAAATTGAAAACTCGTGAAATTTCAATTCGAAAAACTGCAGAATCTAAAAATTTAAACGTTCAAAAGTTGGAAAATCGGAGAACTGGAAAATTAAAAAAATTAAACTTTAAGAGATATCGTAAAATTAAAGAAAAAAAAACCGAAAAATTGAACGATTGCAAATTGAAAAAGTGATGAAACGAAAAATCCCAAAAAGTGAAATTGAAAAACAATCATAAAATCGGAACATTGAAAAAGTGTAAAAATAAAGAAAATAAAAAATTGAAAAGAAAAATTGCAAATGGAAAAATTAAAAATTGAAAACTCGAGAAACTCAAATTGAAAAATTGTAAAATCTAGAAACTGAATAGAAAAGGAGGAAATAGAAAATTGAGGTTATCAGAAAACAAAAAACGAAGGTCATTTTTCAGCTAAGCGGGATTTATTTGGCTGCACTTTAGGGGCGAGGGAAGTTCTGTTAAAATAACCTTCGACCAATTTTTTGGCTTAGCACCAGATTCAACACGACGAAATGAATATCCAATTAATTTTTTGGGAATTTTTTGAAGTTTTTCAAAAGTCAAATTTTTCAATAAGAACATTTGCGCCAATTTTCGGCAATTTCCAAAATTTAACAGAAAACATTTTACCAGAAGTTTCTGTATCATTTTTTGGATCGCCCATGAAATATTGCAATTTTTTTAAATCTTGCACTGGAAGCATGAACACGCTACGAAATCTTTTTCCCAGATTTTTTTGGCAATTTTTTCAGAAACAAATTTTTCCGATATAAAAAAATTGTGGAAATTTATCCAAACAAATTTTATTTTCGATTTTGAACGTTAGCACTTAGTTTCAACCTCATTCCTTCGATAGCTCCTAAAATGTTTTCAAAATCGCTCACTGGTAGGTATATTCCAAATTTTTGGATTAAAATTTTTTTTTTCAAACTGAATATTTTTTAATTTTGCACTGGGTACATAACCATGCTATGTTTTTGGAATCAACACGACGAAATCCATTTTAGAGAATTTTTTGACAATTTTTTGGCAACTCTTTCAAAAACGAAATTTTTCCATTTCAAATGAAAATTTCGAATTTTAACCAGACATTTTTTTATAAATTTGGAAGGTTACTTTCGACTTCATTCGGTAACTGCTAGCATTTTTTCGAAATTTAACTAAAACATTTTTCAGAAGTTAGTTTCGGCCTAATAAAAAATTTCACCCAATTTTCGACAATTTTCAAAAATTGTTGAAATTAACCAAATACATTTTATTTTAATGCTTTAGAATAATGCTTTAATGCTTTATTGACGGAATTTCCCTGAATACAATTACATAAAAACGTATACATATATTAAGTGTAGTTTTAACATCACGCTTAAATTTGTTTAGGGTGCTACCAAAAATATCAACTTTTTTTCGATTTTGACCCTTTGACGTTAGTTTTGGCCTAATTCCTTCGATAGTTAAGTACTAACATTTTTCCAGAATCGTTCACTGGAATATTGTAAATTTTTGGATAAAAAAAAAATTTGCAAACTGAATATTTTTTATATTTTAATTTTTTGGTAATTTTTTGGCTACTTTCAAAAGTAAAATTTTTCGATAAGAAAATTTCAGTTAATTTTCCACAATTTTTGAAATTTAACTAGACATTTTCTTATACATTTCAACCTGAAGAAGTTGGATTCGGCCTCATTTCTCCATAACTCCAACCATTTTTCAAGTAATCGTCCACTGACTTATCGCAATTTTTTGTATTAAAAAAAATATATATTTTTAAACCGAATACTGTTTAATTTTGCACCAGGAGCATAAATACACTATGTTTTTGGAATCGCCACGATGAAATCAATTTTCGTGAATTTTTTGGGAATTTTTTGTCAACTTTTTCAAAAGCAAAATTTTTCGATAAGAAAATTTCATCCAACTTCGACAATTTTCGAACTTTAACCAAAAACATTTTCTTTTAGGGTTCAACCTGCGGAATTCGCCTACTTTTAGGCAATTTTCGAAATTAAAAAAAAATCCTCATAGATTTCGACCTTAAGTTTTCCAAAATCACCCACTCAATTTTATTATTGTAATTTTTTGGATTAACAAAAATAAAACCGAGTATTTTTAAATTTTGCACATAAATACGCTACGTTTTTTGAATCAGCACAACGAAATCTCTTTTGCGGAATTTTTTAGTAATTTTTTGTCAATTTTTTCAAAAGCAAAATTTTTCAATAAGAAAATTTCGGTCAATTTTCGACAATTTTCGGAAATTGTTGAAATTTAACCAAAGACATTTTATTTTCGTTTTTGATCGTTAGAAGTTAGTTTCGACCTCATTCCTTGGACAGCTAGCAACATTTATCCAGAATCGTTCACTGAAATTTGAAACTTTTTAGATTAAATTTTTTTTTTTTCAAACCGAAACGATTATAAAATCGGAACATTGAAAAATTGTAAAAATAAAGAAAATAAAAAATTGAAACGAAAAAAGCAAATGCAAAAATTAAAAATTGAAAACTCGAGAAACTCAAACCGAAAAATTGCAAAATCTAGAAACTGAATGGAAAAGTTGAAAAATTGAAAAATTTAAACTTGAAAACTCGAAAAAATTAAGGAACAAAAAGAATGAAAAATTGATGAAAAAATTCAAGTCAAATGAACTGTGGGAGTGTTATTTACGCCACTGATTTTTACTTTATAGAGGTTATCAGAAGAAATAAATTTTTTGCGATTAACTAGATGTTGGAACATCTTGTGCGCAGCCTCATCAACTTTTCAACTCTTAAACCGTCAGTGATTCATAAAATGTCTCGATATTGTAACATTCTGTAGAACTGTGACCGTTAGTTGTATATGGCGCCATCTCGTTTCCGGAGTCTCAACTTCATTAAAACATGCTACTTTCTCCTTCAAGTTTTCTAACCAATTTAATGGGATTCTGTATCTGCAGACTCAAAATCAGCTTTTTTATGAAACGTGGTTGGTTCATGATTAAATTGATATATTTTTTTAAGTATAGTAATCGAGGCCATCGGACGATTTGTTATCTTTATATTTTCTCGACGTTTCATGACCCCTAGAGTACGAAAAAGTAGTCTGTCTGTCTGTCTGTCTAGTGTCTGTATCCATTTTAATTAGACACGTAATCTCCGAAACTGCTGGACCGGTTGTTGTCAAATTTTGTTTAAGAGTGTATTGATTAGAGGCCAGCGATTAGTCACAAAACCTGCCGACAGAGGTCGCGCCAGGCTAAAAGTCACGTGAGGTTGTCGCCCCCCTCCTAATAACTAGCAACCCAAAGCTTACGTCGTCACTCTGGTTTCCCTTCAAAGCGAATAAATCTTTCGCCTTTTACTAAAGATTTCCGTGGAGGGGAACAATACAAATGAGTCTATGACGAATTTTTTGCAGCCCGGTCGGATTCTTCTGACTGGGCGATGAAGTAATTCAAACAAAATGGTTTTTTTGACCTATAATTGATGGGTCACATTAGAGCTGTTGTAGTTTCGGAAGTCAAATGAACTCTGTACGTAGAACCCTAAAGCCTGAAGTATCATGAAGTCCAAACAGCAATTAAATAGCTCAAATAATTTAAGTACTACTTAAAGTCCTTTATAGGCCTACTAAAATTTAAAACGAAAAAGAAAGAAACTGCCTTTATAATATTATATAATAATAATATTACATAATCCAGACAAGCTATCTATGGATCCATAAGTAGATGAATATTAATTAACAAAAAGGACCAATCAGCATATTTTGTAAAAATAAAATAAATTAGCCAATAAGTAATTAGAGTATGACCTTAATTAATGTAAACTCAGTTGGCGCTGGAAGTTCTAATCATCTAAAGTGACGTCACG